ATCTGTCCTTTCCCCAACTCCCTTTCACCCTGAATCTCAACAATTCCGATTCAATATGAAGAACTATTCAGGTTTAAGTTTCAATGCTCAGCAATTGAAAAAAATGTGGTCTCCTGGTGCTTACCATAGGCTGTATTCTTACACTGTATAGAAAGAGGAGGCAAAGTAAACCTACCCCAATATAGAACAAGGAGGATTAGTCTAAGAGGTAGAAGGAAAAATGGAAAGTATAAAAACCCAAATCACTACACTCAGGCATTGGTAGTCAAGACACTGATGCTGAGAAGGGCTGGGAAATGGTCACTGGAGAAGGGGATTTACCACTCCCATGAAGCCCATGGCATCTCCAGACTCCATGTTTTCTTCTCTTATGGCCAGTAAGATTTGAACTCACTCTGAAAGCTTTCCCACACTCCTCACATGCATAAGGTTTCTCTCCAGTATGAACTCGCTTATGTCCAATCAGAGCTGAGCGCTGGCGGAATGACAAGCCACACTCACTGCAGGTGTATGGCTTCTCACCTGTGTGGATTCTTTTGTGCTGCCTCAGCACTGAACTATGATGAAAAGCTTTTCCACACCCCTCACATTTGTAAGGTTTCTCTCCAGTGTGGATTCTTTGATGATTGGTCAAGTTAGACTTCCCACTGAAAGCTTTGCCACACTCTAAGCATTTGTAAGGTTTCTCTCCAGTGTGGATTCTTTGATGGATAGCAAGGCAGTGTCGATCCTGGAAAGTTTTCCCACAGTCCCCACATGGGTAAGGCTTCTCCCCAGTGTGTCCTCGTTCATGAGCTCTGCGCTTACAGTTATGACGAAAGGCTTTCCCACACTCCTCACACGTGTAAGGTTTCTCTTCACTGTGGACTCTTTCATGTTTGCTGAGCTCTGCCTTGATACTGAAGGCTTTTCCACACTGGGGGCACCAAAAGTGTTTCTCCCGAGTGTGAATTCTTTTGTGTTTGCTTAGGTCTGAGCTCCCACGGAAGGCCCTCCCACACTCTTTGCACTTATAAGGTTGTTCCCTGGTGTGGATTCTTGTGTGTTTGGTGAGATCTGATCTCCCACCGAAAGCCTTCCCACACTCCTCACATTCATATGGTTTCTCTCCAGTGTGGATTCTGCCATGGGTGGTAAGGGAATGCTTACACTGAAAGGCTTTCCCACAGTCATTACATTTGTAAGGCTTCTCCCCTGTGTGGATCATCTGATGTACATTGAGACAGTTCCTGGTCTTGAAGGCCTTCCCACAGTTCTGGCACTTGTGAGGCTTCTCCACACTGTGGGTTTTCATATGCCGGCAAAGCGATGACCTACTGTTGAAAGCCTTCCCACACTGGGTACACTTAAAGGGTTTCTCCCCTGTGTGGATTATCTGGTGCATAAAAAGTTGATTTCTGGTCTTGAATGCTTTTCCACACTCATTACACACATGGGATTTCTTATCAGAATGAATTTGCTCATGGAGAATTAGGTCTGAATGCCAGCTGAAGTTTCTGCCACATTTGGTACATTCATGGAGTTTATGTTCTGTAAGAACTCTATTATATGGAATACATTTTGAGTTCGGATTGAAGTTTTTTCCCAGTGCCTTCTGGTTCTTTCCTTTCTTGAAGGTCAATTCCTCAGAGTCTTCTTTCTCTTCTTTCAATTTCTCTCTTATGGGTGTTATCCATTGGTTCTCTACTTTGACATCTTGTACACAAAATTCTGGAATCTCAGGATCCTGGGAAACAACTTTTAGAAGACTGTCACATTTTACCCAGCAGACTTCTCTGTTCTCAAAAACCTCTTGTTCTAAACTTGCTGTCTTATTCTCAGGCCATGTCTTGCCAATTGACACTTAAATGAGAAAATAAAAATGTCAGAGAAAAGAAAATAAGTAAGAAGGGAGAGGCAAAACAATGTTAAGCTGTGTGGAGAGTAAATGACTTTTTCATGCTGGAAAAATTGGTAACATTGGGCCATAGGTCAGGTCATTTCATAACCATCTTGTCACACAGAAGACAGGAGGCAACTGATAACTTCTCTCTTACTTATGTGGGTAGGCTGAAATAATTAAGTACTAAGTTATTTTAAACTTAGTAAACTTAAAAAAAATCCTTCTATACCTGTCCCTCTTCTAAGAGTCTCCTAGTATAGTGAATGGCAACTCTATATACCTAGCCATCTAACCCAGAAAACTGTAAATCATCTTTGACTCCTTCTCCTTCCCCTCACATTTACTCAAGTAACATTTTACAAATTTTACCTATGAAATGAGCTGCAGAAGGTGTCTGAAATGCCAGTGCAGTCCCCTTTCAAGGAACTGTCTGTTTTGGGCTCTGGACAGCCATATTTCTTTCTCTCCCTGTTTCTCTTTTCAGTGTTGTGGATGGTATTCAGGACCTCATACATGTTAAACAAGTGCTCTACCACTGAGACATATCATCAGTATTCTCTGTCTCTTTTTTTTTGAGACAAAGTCTCATTATGTATTCCAGGCTAGCCTCAAACCAAACTCAAAATCTTTCTGCCCTAGCCTCCTGAGTGGTGGTATTATAGCTGTGTGTCACTATGCCTGGCTAGGATGGCCATATTTCTGCTGTGTAACTCTGCCCACATGGGTAGGGAACATTAGATCTGGGCAACCACTGACCAAACAAGGCCAGATTCTCTTGCTTTTGGAATTGTGATCTGAGGGCATGTAAGATCAGGCTCAGAAAGTCACTAGATCTTCAGCACTTAAAGATGAGAGGCAGTGGTAGTGGGATGACATATGCTACAGGGGGAGGGGATATTCTCCCATCTGTTAGCAAAAGCAGAGAAGGTCACTCTGTCAAGAAGGATGGACAGATGATAATAATAGCTGGAGAGATAGAATTCCCATCCTTTTTAGAGCCTGATGCATAGCTCCCCTTAGGTTCCCTGACATACTTGGAATAATAAGTAGATTCATGTTCTTTTGTGTAAATTACCTTGAGTAAAGTTCTATTGTTGGCAACTAAAGAGTTCAAATCAATCTTATTATCTCAAAATCATGCCACTTTAGCTTAAAATACTTCAGTGGTACTTCACAGCTTAATAAGACAAAGGAAGCAAAGCATACAGTCATATATTCTCTGGAGTAAGAATGTCTGGGTTTGGGCTGGGAATGACTCAAGTGGTAGAGTGCCTACTTAGCAAGTTCAAGGCCCTGAGTTAAAAAAAAAAAAAAAAGAGTTTGGGTTCAAATTCTAGTTTGGACCTGTGTCAAACCATGAAAACTAAATGAGTTAATGCTTGTAAAGCATTTATCATACTGAAGTTCTTAACCAGTTTTAGTGTTATAAAGTTCAACGCCTATAGTTTATCAAAACTCCTAAAGAGAAAAGAAACAACAAACAAAAATCCTCTAAATCATGATCTGCCCTTTGTTACTAATCCTTTACTTTCTCCCACTGGCTATTCCAGGCCCTTTGTTCTGATCATACTGAACTATTCCGTTTATATTTTTTCTATAATACTTCCTTACAAGTCTCTGACCTCTGCTTAAAATGCCTCTCTTTTTGATTCAATTGGTCTCTTAGCAGTAGAGTAACTGATATATAAAGGGGGAGAGGAATTTTCTGAGATTTTTTTTTGAGGGCCAAATTATAAAAAGCCTATTAGATAGGGTGGAGAGAACCAATCAGATACCAATTAGATAATGACAGAATAATTGCCCAAGTTGTTGCTCTCTTTTCCCCCTGATGTTTCCTAAATGGATTTCCTTTCTGGGTCCTTCAGGATGGAGGGAACTAAGTATGCCACCAAGAATACCACTTAGGTACATTCTTAATCATTCTGTCACATGGAAGATGGGAGGGTACTGAAAGCATCTCTGTCACTCACCTGGATAGGTGCAGCTCAGGGACTCCTCATCATTTGGATCCTGAACACAGGGTTCTGTTCCTTGCTCCAGATGAGAGATCAAAGGAGGTTTATGAAATGGAAGTCCTGATTGTAGAGAAAGAATAGGAATGTGTAAAACAACACAGAACTGTCTTAACACTTACCCTGGATCATTCTGTTTGCACATGAAGATAGGAAAGAGGCGTCCACTTATGTGTGAAAGAGGGTTTAGTCAGACATTTGATAACATGCAAAAAGACATGTTTAGGGACTTTTTCAGAAAAGTCAGACTCAAAGGGCAAAGAAGATTCTGGGAAATAGTCATTTTCCATTTTTAGGGAAATTGGAGTCAGTATAGGAAAACAACTAGTTTTAGGCTTGTAGGAGGCCTAAACTAGGAGAAATTAGAGGGTTGAGGAAGCAAGAGTCCAAGAAAACAGAAGATAAGTGTCTCCATTTTACCCAAAGTCCCATTTCAAAGTTTCATAAAACAGCAACTAGGATACTTGAAAAATTATTCTGTTATGTAACAGAGGCAACTCAAACCTCTAATTTTGGGCAAGATCCTGATAATAAGAGGACTCTGACTTTCAATATGACACTCCCCATACACAATACAGCATTTTTTTTAAAGGAAGGGAGAAAGAACTAAGTCAAGTGCAGGGAGGTCCTCACCAAGGGATACCATGTTCCCATAATTTTCCAACATTACATCTTTGTAGAGAATCTTCTGAGAGTAGGTCAGACTCTGCCACTCCTTAGTAGTGAAGTTTATAGCTACATCCTCAAATGTCACTGACTCCTGAAACAGTATGTTCCTGTTGTCCTGGAGAAAAGAGGAAACACAGCTTCTCAGGAAACAAAGGCAGAAGACAGGAATTTGTAGGGGAAGGTCTAGAGAAGGGAAAGGCTGTTATCATTTGGTGGATATTTGAAAATGAAGTAAAAAGGAATATGAGCTTTCAATATTGAAAAAAAATGAAAAAGGAAATCCACCAGTGGTTTGTAACCCAATAAAATTTTCCTTATGCAAGGGATATCTAGGAGTTGCAAAGCCAGAGAATGCAGCAAAAATAAGACCATATTTAGGAGGTAGTGAAATATTTTCAGGAGGGATGGAAGGATCTCAGCTCACTTGGGCCTGGTTAAATATGATGTCTACTCCTGGGAGGTTTCCTTGGCTTCCATCTTTAGGTAACGTAGGGTATTGAGTTGGTAAAGCTGAAGGAAGAAAAATAAGCCAAGAGTCAATTTAGCATAGTGTTAGTGAAACTTGCTTTCATCTCCTTTTCAACAAATCTATGAGTTTCTGCAGTTCTAACCCAGGAGTTAAGTCTACTGTGTACAATATTCTCCTCGTCCACTATTTCTCTAGTCTCAGCTTTCAGAGGTGAGCAACAGGCCTTGGTATGGCAGTCATGCCAACTCTAAGTGCATGTTCCTTCTCTCTCACATATTTTTCTCTGGTCTGTTTTTGCCCTGAGATAACTTTACCCCCTCTCCAAAGAGATCAGGTAAAAAGATCCAAATCATTGACCCTCAGCTCATGAAATAATCTCTTTCTATATTTGAATAGTGAATTCATTTCCTCCAAAAGACCTGAGGTGAGAGGAAGAGAAAACAGGAGGGAGAAAGCCAGGCATGGTGAAACGAGCCTGTAATTCAAGCCCTTGTGAGGCTGAGGTAGGAGGATTGAGAGTTTGGGGTCACTCTGGGCTTTATAGCAAGATCCTGTCTCAAAAAAAAATCCAAAAACCAACCAAACAACAAAAAATTCCCAAACCAACAAGGAAAAAAGAAATAGGGAGGGGAGATGTTGAACAGAAATATGCAGCAATAGGTCCAAAGCTTATTTCTTTAGGTAACTGAATTGCCGGCCTTCCTCTAGTTAGTTTATTAGGAAAAACAAAATAATGTTTTCTTTGATCTTACTAAAGAAGACTCATTCTTTTCCTATGATTTTTGAGCCCCTTTCCTACTAATTCTCCAGTTCTGAGTCATCCTGTCCACACCAGTGTGTACAGCATATAAAACATTTTAAAATGAAAAAGAAACGTTATCAAGGTGTCCAAGTGTCCAGGTACTATTCATATGGATCGGTTAGAAGTACAATTTCATATTACTAATTAATGGGGTCCTATTTTATTCCTTGAAGACCATCTCAATTTTTCTGTAGCTTCAGTATTTAAACACTGGTGAGTTATCTTTCTTGATAGTTCATTAACATATCCCCTATTCCAAGTCTGAATGATTTCTTTTTTCTATTAAGATACCAGTAAGGTCAAAGTCATTTGTCCATAAGACGCAAACGCCACCTTTTGGTCTCAGGCTCTGAAAACTACCATCTGAATTGTACCAAAACTTTAATTTACAACCAAACTGTTTTTTTCCCCACAGAAATTTCTTAGTAATACTCTTTGATCTAGGCTACTCTGAGCTTTTTACCAAGACCAAGGTCATGTCTTGGTCTAGCAGTTTTTCCACTCTGTCATTCTAAAAGACTTGCTACTTTATAACTCTTTGTCTCAAACAATCACAAGCTCACCTGGACAGCACACAGCTCATAGCAGACACATGTTTTGCTCTGTAATGCTACATAATAGTTCTGTTCTTATGACATCAAAAGTTTAAAGCTCTCAATTGGATTTTTAAACAATACTTGTTATATTTCAAATATACAGAAAAGTTTAAAAAACCCTGTAAATACCCATATACCAATCACTTATATCCCACAATTAACATTTTACAGTATTTGGTTTATCTCATTCATCTATCTATCTTTCCATCTGTTTAATTCATTTTGTTTTCATGCATTTCAAAGTAAGTTGAAAATGTGGGTATGCTTTACCTCTAAACACGTTAGCACATTACCACTAACTGGAGTTTAGTATTTACTTATGTATTTTTTCTTTTTGAGATATAATTTACTTCTAGTAAACTACATCAAGTCTTAACGATACCACTGGAAGAATTTTGACAAAAGCATACCCCTCTATAATTCAAATTCCCCACCACATACATTTTGGGACAACTGTGTCAACTCTCAATTCATAGGGCTTTTTTTTTTTCCTTTTTCAGACAAGGTCTCATTATATAGCTCCAGTTTACCTTAAACTTGCTAGGTAGCCCAGGCTGGCCTTGAACTCATGATTCTCTTCCTGGGATTATAAGCATGTATTACCATGCCCAGCAACTTACAGTGATTTTTAAGCTTTAGAAATTGAAAGGTCAGTTTCTCCTCTCAAGTTAAAAATGAACCTAAGAGAAAGGCTACATGCAAAAATAACACACGGGCTGGGCACCAGTGGCTCATGCCTGTAATCTCAGACACTCAGGAGGCAGAGATCAGAAGGATCCTGGTTCAGTCAACCTGGGCAAACAGTTTGAGAGACACTGTCTTGAAAAAACCCATCACAAAAAGGGCTGGTGGAGTGGCTCAAGGTGTAGGCCCTGAATTCAGGCCCTAGTACCGCAAAAAAAAAAAAAAAGAGAAACACAATGAGCACTCGAGTTTATTTTCTACTTCTATAATACATTTGTTTAATTTTATTAATATTCATTTGATTTTTTACACAGAAGACATTTCAGGATTTCTCCTTTGGAAGTCTCAAGAATATATCTGGAACTATATTTTACTTTTGCTTTTTGCAGGTCATATATACCAAAAAAGGTACTTTTTTGAGTGTGCATAATCTTCTATCCAAAAGTCTATAACTTTTCTGGGCCTGATTTTGACTCCAGAATTGCTGAATACCATCTGTTAGGTTCCACTGCCATCTGCCCCTTTCATACAAATCTTAACCACTTTCCTTGTCACATATGTCACAAAGAGCACTTTTAAATCTCAGCCTCTCATTAGTCCACTTCCCTTCATTTTCCCCAAAGCTTTTGCTCCTTCTTTTGCCACTGCTTTATCTTAAATTTCTCAGGTAGTTGCACTATAATTTAAAAATTTTAGGGTTTCCAACAAAGGCCTACAGAAGAAAAATGATATATATTCAAATTTTACATATTGGCAAATTGTGGTTGGGTGGAAGTTACTGAATTATACCATGTGTTTTATATGTGTAAAAATTTATGTACAACTATGTATGTTATGTATGATATAAAAAGTCATGATATATAGTAAATGATTGAATAAATTCAATTTCTTTGATAAATTGCTTTATATAATCTTTTCATGAATCTTTCAATATTTTTTTCCAAATATGATTTAAAATAAGGGCAGAGACTGAATATTTTAGTTTCTCTCCATATCTAGTACAGAAACAACAGAAGACTTTCCATAAGTGCTCAAAATGAACAGATCTGGGGCCCTTGGGAGGCATCTTTCACCCATTCTGTGTCCGCACTGTATTTTCTTGCCACAATATCTGTGGGCCTCACCTTTTTCTTGAAGTAGCTGGGTATCCGTAGGAATCCAAAGTAGCTGGCCTGGTGGTCTTGGATTCTCACTTGACAGCACAACCTATTGCAGTATACAGAATAATTCAGGGGGATTATAATGGTGAGGAAAATACAACCAACCATAAAGCCTTGTCCAAGGAAAAGCTGTCCCAGAAATACCAAAAAGGGGGAAAGAGAATCAGGAACTCAGTTCCTGATATACTTTATGATAAATATAAATGGCACCCAATTACTCTATAACTATAAAGCTTTAATGATCACCAGGTCAAGCAGGAAGAACAATATCCAGAAAGAGAGATCTCCACAAGTCTATGCTTACCACTACTCCAACTACTTTCTTGAATTTACTTCTTCTTCCTCCTTGATGTTATCACAGACTCTTTTCTTACCTGCTGCATATTTTCACCCGGGTTTCTTTTAGTCTTCCACTCTCTCTGCTGGTTAGCTCCAGCTACTAAACAAGTTATGAAGTTGCTCCTGTAGATGTTAGCCTCTTTCTGGGGACACCAGTTTGGTGTTCCCAGGCAAAGGGCCCTTGCTGGCCCACGGGGAAGCTGCTGTTTGGTTTGATGTGTCAAACATTGCCTTGGGGTTGGGGCTCATCAGAAACATTAAGTCAGGGGTGACTTCACATCTTGTTTTCCCACATAATTGGTAAAGAGAAGAATGTGACCGTAAGGGAAAATAAAGAATCACCAATGACCTGAGGCATCTGTAGAAATGAGGGAGCACAAGAAGACAAATTGAAAATGTTAGCATATCCATATTACAATCTCCACTGCTACCACCCAGGTATAGGCCACCATCACTCACTATCTCCCCTCCAGTACTGTACTACCTTTCTAACTGTCCTTAGTTCATTCCTTGCCTTCTTTTGATCTCTTCTTCATAGAGCAGTCTGAGTAGTCCACTTGCAACTTAAATTGGATCTTTTCATTTTCCTCTGCTCAAGACTCTCCAATAACTCAGTTTTACTGAAATAAAAGCTATGGTCCATATAGTGTTCATATACAAAGCCCTAGAGTGTGCCCACCACTCATACCCTAAGATTACAGTTGACACCTTTAATAGTGGCATACAAGTCTATAGGACCTGACCATTACTTCTGACCTTCTCTTCTTGTATTCTTTCCTTACTCAATCCTCCTCAGCCATACTGACCCTCTTTCTTTTCCATCTCATGCACATTTTCACCTTAAGGCCTTTCTATTCCTTTTCTATTTCATCTTAAGGCCTTTCTGTTCATTTTAAGCTATCCTCAAATGTTTGCTGAGATGTCATCTTCCCCAAAGAGGTCTACTCTTCAGTACCTTATTTAAAACCACAACCTACCCCTCTTTCCCCCAGTCCTGTTATACTTACCTTGTTTTACATTAATTATTCTTCTTCTCTAAAGTGCTTTATCACTTTCCAACATGGTGCACAAGTTACTTATATATCATGTCTAATGTTTATTGTCCTACTACTCTTGCTAAAATGAAGGCTCCTGAGCTCCATGAGAGCGGGCACTTTTGTCTGTCTTGTTCACTTTTGTACTTCTCAAAACAGTGCCCGCATTAGTTCGCTGTATTAAAAACTGGCTGAATGAAGAGAATTAAAAAAAAAAAAAAAAGGGCGTGGGGGAGGGGGAGTTAGAAGTCCCTGGGAGGAGATGGGAGAAATGGCAGGGAAAAATACAGACTGCGGGGAGGAAAAGGCAACGGCCCCTTTCCCAAACCTGGCACAAACCACCGCCCTGTCCCGCCCAGCAACCCCCGGCGCCCTGGGGAGAGGCTGCATTTAAGCGACCGAGGTGGCGGTGCCAGGCCTCGGGGACCGGGAGACCAGCGGCCCACAGGAAATGGAGGAAAGAAACAGTCGCTGCACCTCCTCGTCCGCCAGAGGCTGCTTCCGGCGCCTTTCTAGCAAACGCCCAGCTCTCTGGTTGGGCGTCCCGGCCGCCAGCGCGGGACAGACCTCTGGGTGTTTGGGCCTCTGTGAAGGTCCAAGTGGCAGAGACGTCCTCATATTGACTCACTGTTGTCACGGAGGGAAATCTGGATAGGAATGCACGGTCTGGGGACAAATATGTGTCTTTTTCAAAAATAAAAATTCACTAAGACAATTGTAAGCCTACCCAAAGGTTGAGAAGTTTACAAGCACATTCTGTTGCGGGAGTTTGCTGGATGAGATAAGAGTCTCTGAGGCAGATTAGTAGGAAGCATCATTTATTGTGCCAGCACAGACCCAGGGGACTCGTCCAAAGGCTGAGCCCCCAGAACAAAGGGGTCTCACCTTATATACCCTTGCAAGCAGGTTTCAGAAGCAAAAGGCAAAGCTCAACCCACATATGGCTCCATTGTGGAGTCCACAATGTGACTTCATTGGCTATTTCATTTCCCAGTGCTATGTGACCTTCCTGTTTCAATTGTTTAAGTTTTACCTCTCTGCTTGCCATCCCCTCCTCCTGTCTCCTCGTCAGAACACCAGCCTGTCTGTTTCTTTCCTGGTCTCCCCTTTCTTGCTACAATACTACATAAACTCATCTCTGAGTTTTAAAAACAAGTAAGATTTTGTCAAACCTGTTTCATTTATCTCTTCCTTTTTTCTTGTACCAGTATTTTAAAGCAAACACAGGCATGCTATTTCAATTTCATCTCTTATTGCCATTTCCTCATATAATCACAAGACCGTCATCCCTATGTGTTTAATTGGTTGTATGTTTTAACTTCCTCCCTTCCTTCCTCCTTCCTTCCCTCCCTTCCTCTCCTCCTTCTTTCCTTCCTCTTCCCTCCCTCTCTTCCTTCCTTCTTCCCTCCCTCCCTTTCTTTCTCTCCCTCTCACCCCTGGCCACCCCCCCCCCCATTTTTTTCTTCTTTTTCAGCAGTGGGCCTCACGCATTCTTAGTTTTCTTTTAATTCAGATCTAGGGCAGTTCCTTTTTTCATTCTTCACTTTTCCCCAATATAATCAACTTATTGAACAAATTGGGTCTTTTGTCCAGAGGGTTCCACACTCTGGCTTTGTTTGTCTGTGCTTTTATTTAGTTTCCTAGCCTTATGTTTCCTGTCTGTGAACTGGTTTGTTAGATGGAAAGGTTTGATTTTTTTTGGTAAGAATTCTTCTTAGGTCATGCCTTTGCTGCACTTCAGAAGCCTTAGGATGTTTATTTCCCTCTTTGTGATGCGAAGATTGACCAACCTTTCCTCTGAGATTTCATCCATCGATGATTTTTTTGACAAAAACAACTATTTCATTGGGGATTATTAAATTGTGATTTTTCTGTTTCAACAGTTTTTTTCACACTTATTAGCTAGAATTCCTCCGTAAAGCAGGACTTTCTTTTAAAGTTACTTTAATAACCTAGTCTAATTGAAATAATTTTATTTATGCTATTTGTTCTTCACTAACCCCAATTTTTCATAAAATAGTTCCCAAAAAATTAATCCTGGAAGCTTGCCAGGAATTCATGTCAAGTTTTTCAGTCTATACACAGTTTACGCTTTTACTTTTGGCAAGTTTGGTTATTTGGTAATTTTGGGCATGTGTCCCACTCCTCAGAAATGGCCTTCAGGGGTCCTATGGCCAATGTGCCCTTATTTAGGACCATTTAAGGTGGGCATAAGGACTTGCACTCATTCTAAGGCAAGTAGTTATTCTTTTAGTATCTTTCTCATATTAGCGTTTGTCCTGCCATTCTCAACTTGAAGGTCATGATTATTGATGGAGAAATAAAAGCTTTTTGATGATAAGTAATTTTATGGCCCCCCTGCCATCTGTTGAAATTACCAAATTCATTTGTTGGGACTTTTGGGAAAAAATAGCAAACCAAACCAAATCAAGTAACAGCAACAACAAAACTAACCCCCCCAAAAGAACCCCACAAAAAACAAAGCATAGTAGGAGGAACACTCAACACCTAGTTTAAGACATAAAATATTACAGACAGAATTAAATCCCTTTTGTAACCCTTCCCCTTCCTTATCAGATACTACCCTGGTTTTGATATTATTATGCCCATGAATGTTTATGTTTTTAGAACATATGTGGGTAGCTTTAAACATTATAAAATGTAATCTACATGTTTTACAAATTTTATACAAATAATTTTTTTTATAGTTTAATAGCAAACTTACAGGAACAGCACCGAAGACAGACAACATTAAAAACATGTACTTGCATGGAGGGCAGCTCAGTTAGAAAAGTATCAGGAATGGACTGAATCTACAGTATTATAAAAATGTTACAAACACCATTTAGTTGCTGTCAATAAGAAATTTACTTATTTGAAAAAAAATCCACATGCTGGCATCGTCCAGTTGTTTCCTGGGCGCTTTACCGCAGGTGGATTTGCAGAGCTGCCATACAGAGAGCCCCGCACTTACCCTTCTCTTCCCTAGAAGAGGCGGTGCTGGCCACTCTGTACGTGCTTTTAAACTTGAAAGGTTTGATTTGATACAGCTTCCATATATGATATAATTATGTATCATATATGTGATGTATATATGCCTCACATATATGATACATAATAATAATATAATGTATATTATATAATTGTATATATATTTGTTTTCATTTTTCGAGACAAGTTTTCTTTATGCCCGGACTGGCCTCAAATTCACAGTATCCTGCTCCAGCCACACTCAGCTTTAGATTCAGTATTTTTGAAGAAATTTTGTGGGGATGTCATGTACTCTGTACTAACATTTATGTCTTGAAATTTGATGTAGCTCATTCACTTTAACGGCCACAGGTCTTTTCCATTCAGTTCTGCTTTTAACCCGATTTTTAAAATTCAACTCAGAAGTTCAGCAGTTGTTTTTTGCCTTTGATTTTATGGATTTGATTTTGTTTTTATGCTTTTTTTAAAAAGAAATAGTTGTTTTCTTGGAATTTTTCTTTCCGAAAGGATAATTTCCCATAACCTTATGGTAGAAAGTTTGTCTTTTTTCTTTTCTTCTTCTTCTTTTTTTTTTTTTCAGTATTGGGGGTTTAAGTCAGGACCTCACACCAGTCACTGTACCACTTGAGTTACTTCTCCAGTCCCCTCACCTTTCTTTCGTGGTGCTGGAGAGTGAACACACATGCTAGGCAACCACTCTACCACCGAGTTTCACCTCAGCCCAAACTATATTTTCTCATGTAGGAAAGAATAATCTAAAAAAGCATTTGCTACACAGAATAAACTTAAACGCATATTATTTTTTAAAAATTTTATTTTATCATTTTCACATTTACTTACATGTGTATACATTATTCTCCCCACCCCCCAGGCAGAATCTGTTCCGCCCTTTTGTTCTTCCATTTTGTTGAAGAAAAAACATAAAAGATAATAAGAAAAGCATGGCAGTTTTGCTAGTTTGAGATGAAGATAGCTATACGTGTGTTGTTTCCATGCATATGTGTATTACAACCCAAACTGGTTCATCTCTACCAGACCTCACTACTTCCTTGTCCCCTTCCTATAGTGGGCTTTCTGTCAGTTTAAGATTACTATACTTGCTCCTTTATAGTGAGCACATCAACCACATTCAAGTTTTTGGTTTCCTTCCCATTCCCTATCCCATCCGTGCATGGTCTTCCCTTAGTGTGACCCATGTCAAATAATACTGCAATAATGTTACTGCATATTATTAGTGGAAAGAAATCAATCTTAAATGACTACACACTGTACGCTTCTAAATATGTAATCTTTGAAAAGCCAAAACTCTGGGGACAGTAAAAAGACCAGTGATTGCTAGACTTAGAGGGAAGGAATGATGAATAGAGGGAGCACAGGGGATTTTTTAAGGTGAGGAAAACATTCTATATGATACTATAATCATGGATGCATATCATTATACATTTGTCCAAATCCACAGAATGTACACCACCAAAAGTAAATTTTTATGTTATACGTGATACATCAGGTAGGTTCATCGGTTGTAACAAATGTACCACTCCTTTTGGATATGCTGATTGTTTGGGAGGGGCATGCATTGTAGGAGCTAAGGGTACCTGGAAGTCTCTGTATCTTCAGTTCAACTTTTCTATGTAACTAAAACTTTTTAATAATATCTTTTAAAAAACTTTTAAATATATCTTTTTTGCTTAACCTTATTAGTTTGAACACTTTCTGTTCAAGTTTCTGCTGTTAAACATGATAGTGAAATATAGTATAATGAAGCTACATTATAGAAAAATACCATATATTGGAAATACATTTTGGAAAACTGCATTCTTTATGTGCGTGCTTGTGGGGCTTCATAACTCTGAAAAAATTATAACACATTTAAATGTGACACAAGCTACTTCGAAGAAGCAAATGCTGGTATCAGTGAAAACCGTTTTGCAACGATTTTTTTCAGACTCATTCATTTCATCCATTCAATAAGCACTAATAGCAACTGTCCTGAGAGTATGGAATACAGGAGTGGACAAAATAGGCAAAAGTCCCTTGGAGTTTATGCTCATTCTTATTAACTCGTGCTTCCATTTTCTCTCTTTCTTTTCTCCAGTCGTATGCTGTTGAGGTCCGAGGTCGACCACCCCTCCGAGGAACAAAAGACACTCACGATAATGTAAGCCACAAAGCGAGGTTTATTTTCCAGCCAGCTGGGGTCTGGGTATCCGCCCCACGCAGCGGGTTTCAACGAGGACCCAGAATGCAAAGTTCAGGCTGCTTTTATACTTTTTAAACATTAGTCAGGGTCACACAGCAATTTTTATGGCCCCTGGGGTCACATATTTCTGATATCACCCACATGCTGGTGGTGGGGCAAGATTACTTAAAGATTATCAGGAACTTGATAAACACCAGGTGTCTTAACTCACACCGTTTTAGCAAGATTAACCAGAAACCGTCCCACCTCCCTTAGTTCCAGGAAGTGGCGGCTTGGGTCATGTTAGCCATGGCCGGTTTCAGGCTGAGTGGGCTGCAAGCCTCAACAGTACCCTAACATATGCTAAGGAAGATAAATTTCACATCCAGGCTAACTTGTTCAAGCGTGGCAACAGCCCCAAGCTAGCAACACCGTTTCTCAGTTTCTTCCGGGGTGGACCACAGAGAAGTCCTCCCCGGGTCCTAGATGGGCGAGCAGCCGGTTACCGTGGAGACCGCGGAGGGGAAGCGCTCGCGGCTCTGCGGCCGTCTTGGTTTTGTCGCGTCACCGGAAGCAGCTTCGGGCTCCCTCGGCCCCCTGCCGGGAAGTCAGGACCTGGTAAACCCGAAGGGAAGCTGGGTCCGCGGGCAGGTGTGTCGGGCGGTGTCGCGGGTCCTGGTGGGGTGAGGCGAGGGCGGGGCGGCGTGTGGGTCCCTTCTACCGAGGCATCTTTTTCTTTTCCTCTTCTCCTCTGTTTTTCTCTCTCCATTTGCTTTCCTCCTTTAAGCCATCCTTTAATATTAAACTTTTTTCTCCTTTTTAAAATTTATTCGGCAAACACTTGAATATAGCTCGTGTATTCTGGATCAGGTTTCTTCTGAGTGCTTTGTATATAGGAACTCATATAAAACTGAACTCAGTGGGGGTAGTTTCTATCATTATTCAATTTTTAAATAAGCAACCTTACGCCTTGATAAGATACAGTTACCCACGGTGGCACATCTGGGAAATTGAGGATAACAAAACCTAGACGGTCTAGTGTCCCCAATCTGTGCATTTAATCACAAAGCCTGCCTGCCTGCAGCAATCCTAAAATTCGGATTCGAATTTTAACTTTCTTTCTCTGTGCCAATTTCTGTTCTCTTCACACTGCTTTTGTGTTTTAAAATTATTGATGTTCATGGCTTCTTTTCTGGCTCTCTTTTCTCCTGACCTTTTCTTGCCGGCTAAGAAAGTGAAATGCAGAACGGAGTTGCTGAACCTTCCCCATCTCTCAGGTCACACTGCCAATAGACACAACACAAAGTGCAGGTCCTTGGTGTAAAATGTCGGCTACTCTGGAGAAAACATGTATCTTTGACCTCTGTTCACAGGGGTTTGGCCCACTTGAGGAGGCCTTTCCTGCAGAGGAGAAGGCTCTGAACCATTCTGTCTGGAGACAGTCAGGACTGGATGTGGACACGTGATTCGCCTGGTAGAGAGGAGGTCGTAGGAATGGGAGGAGATGGAGAGCAGACTCTGGATGGAGAACAGGTAACAAGCGGCAGTGTCTTTACTGCCAGGGAAGAGAGTGAAAAATGTGGCTGTCTTAAGGACTAAGACAAGTAGGGCCCAAGCTCCTCAGTTGAGGTTCTTCCTTAATTTCTTTGTTGCTGACTATATCGATAGTGTTTATGGTTGCATGCTTTTGTAGGAAAGACTGTATGAATCTTCTGTCTTCTTTTAAAATAGAATGGAAATTAGTTGATTAAAGCATGATATATACAGTCCTGAAATACCAAGGTGAGATTCCCTTGGAGTATCAATATACAAAAATGAAGGGCAAGAGGGTAAAATAGGTCTTTTCTAGACCAAAAATCGTAGGTTCTCCCTCATATGCAGACATTAGATCAAGGGCAAACACAACAAGGGGATTGGACTTTGATCACATGATAAAGCGAGAGCACACAAGGGAGGTATGAGGATAGGTAGGACACCTAAAAAACTAGATGGCATTTGTTGCCCTCAATGCAGAGAAACTAAAGCAGATGCCTTAAAGCAACTGAGGCCAATAGGAGAAGGGGACCAGGAACTAGAGAAAAGGTTAGTTCGAGAAGAATTAACTTAGAAGGTAACACATATGCACAGGAAATCAATGCAAGTCAACTCCCTGTATAGCTATCCTTATCTCAACCAGCAAAAACCCTTGGTCCTTCCTATTATTGCTTATACTCTCTTTTCAACAAAATTAGAGATAAGGGCAAAATAGTGTCTGCCGGGTATTGAGGGGGTGGGGAGGAGAGGTAGGGGGTAGGGGGGATAAGGGAGGGAGTGGGGGCAGGGAGGAGAAATGACCCAAACATTGTATGCACATATGAATAAAAAAATAAAAAAATAAATAGGTCTTTTATGGAGATAGATACCAGTGTGGGCATAAGGAAAGTGTGAATAAGGGTGAGTATGATAGATGTATTTTGTATTCATATATGGAAATAGAAGAATTAAACATGTGTACTTGTTCTAAGAATGGGGGAAGGAGGATGAAGGAGAACAATGGAAGGGTCTATCTAGATATATTGTAAACACATATGTAAATATTATAATATATGCCCCTGTACAATTATTATATGCTAATGAAATTGAAAAAAAATGAAATGAGAATTAGATTTTCCCTTTTTCTTTAGTCTGGTTCATCCTATATTTCTTACCTTTTGATAACATTTCTACTTCTAGGCTCTGTCCAGTGCCCAGGAAGGGCAGAAGTTGGCTCATGAGATTTTGGCATCAGTCTTGGATTCACCAGTTACCCAACATTGGCCTGTAGTCATCCAGCCTGAAAATGTCATTCCCTTTTCTTGCGTCCTGCAAAAGCGAGATAGGGAGCCAGAAGTCCCATCTTTCTGCTTATGGGGGAGAGTTGTGGCAGTTCAGAGAAAATGAGAACTGGTTTTAGATGTTATACACCTTAGTATTTTAAAAATAGAACTAGTGAAAATTGAATTGTCCTCTAAGTGACTGAAATCCACTTCTTAGCAGATCCTGCAGCACCCCCACCCTGCTGTGGCTTTGGGCACTGATTATCTTATCTCCTGAGGCAGGAGTCAGCAAGTTACAGCCTGCATGTTAAATGGAGCTTACCACTTGTTTTTGTCTCTGAACTAAGAATGGCCTTTTTACATTTTTAAATGGTTGAAGAAAACATCAAAAAAGAATTATAGTATTTTTGTTGCATTTGAAAATTATGAAATTTATATCATAATTGTCCATAAAGTTTATTGCAATATAGCCATGCTCATGTTTATAGATTGCCTTTATGGTACAACAACAGAATTGAATAGTGGTGATGGAACTGCCTGGACTGCAAAGCTGTAAATATTTACTATCTGTGCTTTTATAGAAAATCTTTTCCCATCGTCCCTACTCTAGAATGATCCACTGCCCTTTCTTAAAAGTTGCCATGAAGATTGGATTCCATGTTCCCAGCTATTCCATGCTTTATAATTCTGCAGATGCCTTCCCCTAACTGAAAAAACTTATACTGGGCAAGATGTTCTTTCATCAAGAAGGAATCATGAGGGCCAGTCTCTGAGACAACAGCTTCGGGCAGTGCGTGGGGTATCTCCTGGGTCAAATCTCTAAATCTTCAGAATCTTACCTACATCCAAAGCATGAATCTACTCATAGAACATAAGGCAGACATCAGTGGGCCCATAGACTGGCTTCCACCCACAGCATAGCGAGAGTTGTCTTCTTCACACAGTCTATTTTTTTGTTGGTATAGTCCTTTTCTCCAGAGGAGGCCTGGAAAGGGCTGTCCCTTTGGACCTGCCTGATTAATTTAGGCAGGGCTTCCCTACTTAGGATGCTGTTTCGGGGCAGTAAGAGAAAACCTAGGCCTCTGGGTGAAAATGGAGTTGTTCCATCTCTTACTAGGGGCTTTCACTGGTGGTGGTGGTGGTGGGGGTACAGATACCGAGAGATATAAGTGAGGAGAGGTGGACAGCTGCATGCCAGGAACTTTGTATATGAACCTGGTCTATCCCCATAGCACCTCTTTGTCAGCTTAAGAAACCAAGAGTCAGAGCAGCAATGTCAGTTTTATAGTTCTAGAGGCAGAACCAAAGTCTGAGCTCCTGTTTCTCTGCTTCAGAGGTCTGCTCTTTCTACTGATGGCATAGATTGGATTTGGAATTTGCAGAGGGTAAGTGATTTACCATTGTCTTAGGCCTTTCTTATAGTCAAATTTGAGGGAAAAAAAAAAAAACCTTACCGAGTCTCCTGAGAATATGTACTGTTTTGAGAAAGTGCAGAAATATTAGGAAGTTAGTCTGAGTGTGGTAATACACATCTGTAATCTCAGCATTTGGAAGGCAGAGGTAGGAGGACCTTGAGTTCAGCTACATATTGAGACCTTGTCACAAAACCAAACCAAAACCAAAGCCAAACAACAACATTAGGAAGTTAAGTGTTTTTCATTGAGTTGATCAAGATAAGAAGTGTAGTCTGAGTAGAAATACCAAAATGCAATTTGAAGGAGTCACCCCAGGTGAGTGAAGTGGAGCTGAGAAAATGCCTGGAGAGGGTTTGGGGAGGTTAGAATAGCTATAATAGAAAAATCGACCGTAACTACCTCAAGACAATTTGCATGGACTTGTTACTGTCTGTACTAATGTTTGGTCAGGAAGTTCTGCCTACTCTTAACCAAGGAATTAGCTACTTAAGAACCTGTGCATACTCTAATTGGAAAATGCTTGGGAAATCTTCCTGCACCTCATTTTTATTCAGTGAGAACATAGTGATAATAAATAGAACAGTTATGCCTAAATAGCTTACTGCTATTATAAGACTTTAATTATAAAGTTTATCTTGTGGTTTATTGAGAAGGAAGGAATCTAGCATAGATAACTTGAAAAAAGAGTTGTACATGCCATGGTTTCCCTTGTGAAAGATAAATCAGGCTGAGGTGTCGTGAAGGCCATGGGACCTCCAGCTACCAGGCTAGAGGGGGGTCACGTAGGTGACGTCTACATTTCTAACACTGGTTTCTTTTCTTTTTTAATTTAAAAATTTTTTTATTGTTGTGGTGATTGGGGGTACATGGTGTCATTTTTTTTCTTTTATTATTCATATGTGCATACAAGGCTTGGGTCATTTCTCCCCCCTGCCCCCACCCCCTCCCTTACTACCCACTCCGTCCCCTCCTTCTCCCCCCCACCCCCTCAATACCCAGCAGAAACTATTTTGCCCTTATTTCTAATTTTGTTGTAGAGACAGTATAAGCAATAATAGGAAGGAACAAGGGTTTTTGCTGGTTGAGATAAGGATAACTATACAGGGCATTGACTCACATTGATTTCCTGTGCGTGTGTGTTACCTTCTAGGTTAGTTCTTTTTGATCTAACCTTTTCTCTAGTTCCTTTGTGTCATTTACAAAGGTTCTTACAGTATATCAAATATATCATACTTGAGTTCACCCCCTAATGCTGGTTTCTTCATGGTGCACTTAAAAAGATCACAGTTTGCATATCTGACCTTTTATTTTTAGCATGTTCCTGCTTTCAGTCATGTTCTCACTGCAGTGATTGTAGAAGTCCTGAGGTCTGTCTGTTTAAGGAGCTGATTGTTCTGGGTTAGAGGCACTGGTTAGAGACCTACTTGACTTTTCTATCTTCCCCACCAGCCTTGAGTAGTCAGTTGCCAACTGACTTTGTCTTTTGAATAGTTTGCATGTCTTCTTTGTTCCATACCAGCCAGGTTACTGTCATCTGCTACCACCATTACTGCAAAGGTGTCATCTTTAGAGAATAGTATGTGTGGAAAATTGATGTCTTCTCTGTGTGTTATTAAATTATATGTATAGATGAATGCATATAGTGTCTTTAAGTTAGTCAGGATTTTTGCTTTTAAAGGTTGGTTTATGTTCTCAATGTTCACATCTCAGACATTAAGGTTAATTTCATAGGCAATTAGAACACTGACCTACAATCTTTTTATTCAGGGAGGGATTGTCTTAACAGATACGACTTTTAAGAAGTTATTTATTCTGGGAGGGGTTGTTCTTAACAAATACAGATTTTAAGATATAGACTTTTGCCACAGAAAAAAATGCACATAGGCATGCACACACAATTTTGAACTGATTTAGAGGGATTCATGTATGCCCAGTGTAGCTTACTGATGGCTGTCAGGTTAAGAGCTCCTGAGTATAGCAAGCAAGTAGGTATAGCAAGTAGGGTCTTTAGACTTTAGAAAGTTCATTACTAACTTCATGTGAATCTCAAACATTTTTGCTTTTATTTTCACCATCGTATCTATAATTCCAGTTATTTTTATGGTTTTACTCAGAAACCTGGATACTGAGGATAGAGCGGGCAACTTGATCTGAGATCGTCGTTACTAAATGAAATTTTTTATCTTGAGTAAGAAATGAATCTGAAACTTCAGTCATGAGGCGAGCAAGGTATCTTGAATAAAACCCATTTATTAAAAAATTTATTGGGCATCTACTATGTGCCAGGTACTATTCTAGTGCTGGAGACCTAACAGTGTACAAAATAAAGTTCCTTCCCTCAGGAGCTTATATTGTAGTGGAAAAGCTAGAAAACAAATGTGTGTGTGTTTGTGTGTGTGTGTGTGTGTGTGTGTGTGTGTGTGTGTAGAAATAAAGGGGGGTATATGTGATGATGAGTTTGGGAGAAGATGGGATGGTAGATAAGATTGTCAGAAAGTCTTCTTTATGGTGTCTGTTAAAACAATGGTAAAGATACAAAGGTTTGAATTAGCTTTTCATCACTATAACAGAATTCTTAACACAGGCTACTTGTGAAGAAAAGGAGGTTTGTTTAGCTCACAGCTTTGGAGGTTCAAAGGCATGGTGCTTGCTTTGGCTCAGATCTGGTGAAGACCTCTCTTGGCACAGTGGATTGCAAGGGCAGGTACATATCAGAGCAAGCAGTCATGTCTTGAGTCAGGAAGCAGAGAGAGCATGGGCTTGCTCCTTTTATAACAATCCTCTCATGAGAACTCAAGGAGTGGCATAAAATCTACCAAGGAAGTCACATGAGGAGTACCTTAGCCCCCAGTAACCAAAGCTCCACCTCCTAAAGGTTCTTCCACCTCCAGTAGCACCATCCTGGGGACCAAGATTTAACATGAAAACCTTAGGGGAAACACAATTAGTCCATCTCCAAACTATGGGGGAGGGGCAATGATCAGAGTATATGCATTTGTTTCTATATTTTGCCATATTTCTACAATGGACTATTTAGTCATTGGGAAAAAGGATGTAAAATATCCTATGGGTAAAAAAAAAACCCTATATTTTTCCTATTGTAGTTACCGATTTTGCCATCAATAGTTTGTTAGATAACACTTACTCAGAGAGAATGGCCACGATGTAATGTGGCAGTCCAGTTCCTCACGATGGTGGAACATAAGGCACCCTATTCCAGGTCAGATGATAAAGACAGAGAAATAAATAGACAAATAATTGCTTGTGGCTGGAAAGGGTAGGATTGACTAAGTGAAAAGTTCTTCCTCAGAGTCAAGTTTTCACCTGAGGGGAGATAAAGATGTCACACACACATTCTTAGAAATAATGTATTAATTTTGTCAGGTGAGGTGAGGCTGTTTGACTTCAGCCCTCAGACAATTTCTTACTGGGGAGTTTTGTTAGATAATTAGACAAAGGGAGATTTTTATTTGGGAAATTCTATTTTTTAGAATAGTAATAGTAACATGCTTGAAAATGTATGGAAAAGATTGATGAAATTAAAAAATTCTAAACTGTTGGTGCAATTGAGGAGTCACTGCAGGCTCTCATCTGGGGCAGCTTCACATGGGCTCTTGAACCGTTATTTTAGACTAAAATGTAGGACTTATGTAGGATCCATATATCCTGGAGAGGACAAGCTTTCAGTTGTAGGATCTCCTCCTCCTCTTGCTTATTTCTTTCTCTCTCTCTTTGTCTCTCCCTTATTCCCCTCTCTCTGCAGTACTGGGGCTTAAATTTAGGGCTTTGCACTTGCTAGGCAGATGCTCTAGCATTTGAGCCATGACCCCAGTCCCAGAAAAATGCCACTGGAATTAAAAAAAAATTCACTCCCTCCATTATTCTCCTTTATTACTCCTACCCCCATTCCTGAAATAGTTTTAGCAGGTCTCATTTTTCCATTTTCATACATGAGTACATAATATTTCCACCACATTCACCCTCTTACACCTCTCCTTATGTCCTCCTCCTCCCAGTGGTGCCAACCTCAGAAAGAATCTGTTTTACTTTCCTATTCTCTGCTTTTTAAGAAAGACAATTTTGTTTCTTTAAGATAGATATACAGGGAATTTTATTGAGCTATTTCCATGTATATACATATCATAACCCAAATTGGTCCATCCCCTGTATTTTCTCCTTTTTACCTTAGTCCTCTTCTTGCCATTGGAATTAGGATAGGGATTGTATATACAAGTGTATATATATATATATATATATATATATATATATATATATTTTGTGATACTTGGATTTTGAACTCAGGACCTCATGCTCCCTAGGCATACGTCCAGCAAGGCCTGCTTTTCTTGATAGTCCCTTGTACACTTGAAGCAAATACTAAGCAATTCATCCTTCCATTCATAGAACACTTACTGAGTATATTTTACTAAGTATATTTTAAGTGTCAGGTAGTTGAACTGGGCAGTAGAATATGGAATTGAAGGCTGTTTAGCTCTGACCCTTGAGGCACTTCAGTCTGATTGGGAGAAAAGAAAGTGTGTGGCATTAGTCCATAGTGACAGAAACATGCATAGGATGCATAGGAGTTGGGACAGAGATATAATTGGGATAGATTTGGTGTTTGTGGATGAGTAGGTAGATAGGAAACATAAGAGAGAAGGGTTTATGGCTTGGGTGACTGGATAGTAGAGCTACTCACTAAGTTTTGTAATATAGCATTAATAAGTGATCAATTTGGATTCACATGAGATTGTATGTCTACAGGTATACATGTGAAGATGTACATTTTACTTAGGACCTAAGTTTTGAATTTGGTAAAGAGATCTGGGCTAGAAATATGGATAGGAGAGTCATTTGCTCAAGTTAAAACCACAACTGTAATTGAGGTCATTTAAGGAGAAGGTGTAGAGTGAGCAGAGCATATGTTACAGAGGTCAGAGGGGTACAAAACTACACTGGTGGTTGGGGGCTGAGGTGCTACAAAAGTGCTTGAAGGAAGAGCCAGAGGGAACCTGGAATGTGATTACTGAAGTTGATGCCTCAGCTCTGAAAATACAACTATTCAGACCTGGAGAGAGACTACTAGGGGTTCCGGGATAGCTGATAAGTCACAGTGTAGTATCTGTGCAGATACTGGGTAACTTTAGTTTGTGTGCGTATGTTTTTTTTTTTCTTCAGTACTAGGGTTTGAACTCAGGGCTTCTTGCTTTCTATGCAGATGCTCTACCACTTGAGCCAAACCTCCAGACCTTACTTTAGGGTTTGAACAGGTTCCTAAGCATCAGGAGATATGAAAGGAACATGGATTGATTGTGGGCTAAGGTAATTTGATTGGGAGGGTATTTGGAGAAGAGGAGATTAACAGTAAAGTAGCAAAACAGCCAGTGAGTGATGCTAAGAGTTCATAATGAGCTAGCCAAACCAAAGGTGTGAAAAGTAAGTTCTCCAAGGAACCTATTAAAATACTAGATTTCTGTAAGTCTTTTTGAGTAGCAAATGACTTCATTCATTACATGCAACTTGTATGTAGTTTATAGCTTGGTATCTTTTCAAATTGTAGAAAAGGCTATGGTACAGTAGACATAGAGGGGAAAGGGTTTGGTAAGAAAAATAAAGGCGGTAAATTGCTGAATACTAGGATGTAGTTAATTCCAGAAGTTTGGCTTGAGAAGAGTCTTTGAATTTTTTTGATCGTCAGTATCAAAGATAAACACAGCCTGACATAAGTTATAGTAGTGAAAACACTTTACACAGTAACTACTGACAGTAGGAGAAAATTCTGGGCTCTATTCTAATTTGGGTATCTTAAAGGGAGTGACTATGGAGATTCAGAAGAGTCAGAAGTGAAGAAGTATAATG